AAGCGTGAAAACATGGTAAAGATCTTAAATATATGATCAGCATGCACTGAATCCTTGGGACGCAATCTTTCATTGCTTGATAAAGGTGTCACAATGTGTGAAGTGATGTTCAAGTATATATTGCCTTTCAAAGAGATCAACAATTCCGTTTTACTTAACTCTGGTATCTTGAAATCCAGTCTAAATTGTAATTGTCATACCAAACACAATGATCAATTCTTTGATTATTTAAAAAATCATAACAAACAACAAACGCTGCTATTATTTTTTTTACTTCTTTATTACTTTTCCTATTTCTCTTTGATATTCTGATTAATATAATGCATCTGTCTTGTGATGTCTGTTCATCAGTGGTTTATGTGATAAACGTGATGAAAAATGAAATGAGGAAGACAGATTCTGTTTCACTAAGCAGTGTATTGTGAGCATGTGGCTGTAACTGCGCACAGTGAAACAAATAATGGCTTCTGTGACGTGATGATGCAAACAATCTCTGTCATGTGCCCTCTCGTGATAGTTCTTTTGAAGCAAACTGTAACAGCTGAAAATACGCAAAGTAAGGAAGACAGGTGAAATGCGTTGTGAACACAACGAAATGTCTATCCTTTTGTTGTGTTAAAAATAATGAATTTACTAATTGGAGTAAAATTCTAAATATACAATATTGCATTTGTTGCGAATATTTGAATACAGTTTGTGGCTTTGACGTAAAAATGCAGAATTAAAGCATATTTATTTATTTCTATCGACATTTTTTTTAGTTTTTGTAAACAAATACTAGTATGTTTTAAAATATAAGGATATTATATTTGAAATATTTAATTAATTTCTCAATATTCATTCCAAGGTACTTACATGTGTATATATATAATGATTATATAATGAATGCTAATTTGCCTGACTATTTAACTTGCCATTGTACAACTTTGGCATATGCAAAGGAGATAATTGAACAAATAGGAAACTGCTATGGTTTTTTTTTTATTTGTAACACATTTCATGAATATTTCTCCATTGAAATGAAACAAAAGCTGTTTAAAGTTGCTATTCAGATAATATTTTATATTAATGACATACACGTACCCTGTCTGTGTCTTTGATACTGGAGTAGTCTGTCTTTGGATGGTGGTGGTGATGGTGGTGTTTTCTCCCCTACAAACCAAAATTTCAAACCAGTCTAAAGAAACTGCTAACTGGATTCTAGGGTATTATTCGTTTTGTTAGAGCCAAGAAATAAATAGTTTGCCTGAGGTCATTAAATTGAAGGCAACCAGATTGATATGATAGATTAAAAAAAATGTACCAGTATTTGTCTAAGAGCACATTCAATAATTTTGTTTTGTTTTGCTGTTCATGGATTCCAAGATGTAAATTTCTGTACAATTTATTTTGTTGCAGGCAAACATCAACAAATTCAAATTAAATAAGATTGATCTCACAAGCAGCATAAAAAAAATGTTACAGCAGTCCAATATCTCATCATGTTATACCTTTAAAAATGATTTTCTTATGAATAAATCCTTGATATAAGGTCTAAAAACAAACTTTAAAGGTGTAACAATACAAACTGTAAATCTTTATAGTAATGAGGATGAACTTTGGGTGTATTTAGGTATCTAGACTGACCTGCCAGACCTTCCCGTGGGGTGTCCCGATGCTGTCTCGGATGTGATCTCTCTGGACCCCTGACGATTCAGTGGCAGATAAATTGTCCAGATATCTGAACATACAAATAATCAAACATTCTGAAATATTAATTGCAATATCCAAGTATATAGATAATCTGGATGGTCCTTGATAAACAAATGCCTCACCTCAAACAAGCTTCCAGGTCTGTCTTTAACTTCTCCTCATAATCCAGGTATTCATTCTGTAGACTCCTGTCGTTAACATTCAGAAAAAAACAAGTCAAACATTAATATCCAGATCAAAGCCCTAAATAACACTTAAAATGTATGTATCTTTAAATTTATATCTGCACCAAAGCAGAGTGCTACTACAGATAACATTAAGCCATACACAATCCTCCTTTGTAGGAAGTTGATGTTTTCGTCCATCTTAGCTCTGGATTCTTTCATGCGTTCTTCGAATGCCTGTTTGGCTGCGTCTTTTAAAGCGTTGATATTCTGAATGTGTCGACTAGCACCAGGATCGTGTTCTACCTGGAACAAAGATTGTCAACCAGCATACAATAAAATCTTATCTAGTTCATTAGAGTTAGGGCTAGAAAATTTACAACTGGGAATATTTCCATCTCTTGTTCATGTACTCACACTGACTGTTGGTTTAGGTAGTGGACGGACTGCTATATTGTCCAGGGTTTTTATGCTGGTTTCCTTTAGGATGTCAGTCTGGTACATTCTATCTCTTTCTATTGGGTTACCCTTCAAATGATTAGTATATTACAGTAATTTTATTGTTAGAAATAAAATTTGTTACCAAAATATAGATAAATTAGCAAATTAATGAAACAGTGAATAAACTGTATAGAGACAAAGTATTTGTACATATTTTAACTCTCATGGGTACTAAAGGGAAAAAAGGGGAAAAACTGTTGCCTTACATGTAGAGAGAGAACATCCAGCCTCTTCAGTTGACCTAGGACCCCCACAGCATTGTGAAGGGAGTGGATTCTGTTACCAGACAGATTCAGGATCTGTAGATGGAAGCAGCTGGTCAGGGGAATCATTTCTGTCTGGAAGAATAACAATGAAAAGATTAACATCCAAAAATATTGTAATGTTTCATGGAAATTTCAAAGGTCATCTAAGTTTGCAATGTTTAAGATTACTTTGACTTACAAGTTACATTTCCTCGCTTCTAATTCATACATTCATCTTAATTACCTGGTCATGTAACCGCTTTGTACCTACCACTTCATTCCTTTGTGCGTACAATTCTCGTAGTTGTGGTAATGCTTGTACACCATCCAGGGACTTGATCTACAAAAAAATATAGCTATACATGTATTTATCTATTTCCAATCATTTTGTTGATTATATTATTTTGAAGAAGGAGAGAACAATAACTCATTGCACCATTTTATAATAAAATAAATCATGGCATTCTAACATTTTTAATGTTAAAAAAAAAATATTTCATTTAGTTATATCTAGTTTATTTGCCAAAAAATATTAGTACTTATTTAGATTCCTTTGGACTGCAGTACAAGACAGAAATAAGTTTTACACCAAAGTGTATACTGATACCTTATTATTATTCAGGTTGAGGATCTGCAGGTTCATCATGCTTGGCATGTATGATATATCTTCCAGTTCGTTCATGCTTAGATTCAACTCAACCAAGGAACTACTTCTCACAAGGTTCTCAATTTGAGAGATAGAATTGTGGGATAAATTCAGTGAATACAACTTTTTACACACCTCTATACCTATGAACCTGAAATAACAGAAAATGGCTAGGTAGGATAAAATATAGTATATCAGTTAAACTTGTGAGGAAGCATGCAGTTATAAACTGGATGTTTTATTCACATTCATTGATGGCTGTTGTATAAAATTTTCCCAAATTTGAACATCATTGTGTGTTTTTGATTTAGCTGATTTTGACTTGGGCTTCTGAAGCAAAAAGTTTATGCTATGAATACGGATCAATATTAAATTTTCATGATTTCAAAAATAGAGCAAAAAATAAAACAATTCATTTATATTCATTGTATATCTTTATAAAAACATTTTTCATATAACATTCCTCATGTTCCTGTTTCCATGAAAAGGGATTAATTAAATATTCATACTTACTTGTTTATTTTGTTCAGTGATGCATTCAGTTCTCGTAGATTCTGAAAAGGGAGGAAACTCTCATGCTCTAAGGAAGACAACTCATTTAAGGATATGTCCATCTTGAGGATTCGAGAGGGCATGTCAATCACAGAGGACAATCTGGCCTGGGGTTCTCTGTTAGAAAGTTTGGTTTTACAGTAACAATGATAATTATAGTAGACACTCTCATTTGAACATATTAGATTAAACATTAAAATACAAAATATATCAAAATACAAAATCTCCCGACTTGAATATTTAAGATTTACATAGACCAGTTCTGGCACCTAAGGCATATAAAGTATGAAGTACCACGCTAAAAAGGAACTAAAAGTCGATACATGACATTCTTGAAGAAAATAATTCTCTATTAGGCCTATTATAAAGATTACTTGAATAATGTGTATCAAAAATTAATAACCTTTCTTTAAAATATCAATAGAGAAGTGGACTGCCTTTTGAAATGCCTTAAGTCAATAGCGTGTCCAACTCTCTAAAGTGAATGAATCAATCTCAAACCTTTCATCTCCCCAGTGGAAGCTGAACACAATATCTCTCAGCTGGCACATCTTTAAATCTAGCTCATAGTTACCACCCTTTGTTTCTACTCCCCATTCGGCAGGTTGTAAAGTGAGGGGATGAATTCTTCTCTCTACAAAATCTTGTGTCAGTTGCTTAGCCATGTTATCACTTGCTGTGATGGCCCCGAAAAATCAATTATAAATACAATTTTCCCCCTAAATCAGTAAATGTTAAAAAATTGTTTACATTAGTTTCCTTGGAACGGAAGTAACTAACTATGAGAATTACGATCCCGATTTAAAAGTATTCATTCATTAAAAATATTGACAAAGCTGAGAAGACAACACGTATGCCTTTGGTTATACATTCTGTTGCCAAAATACATTGACTCAGGATATTTAACAATGGTAAAATATATGGTTTATCATTGCTGGATGATTTTATTAAATTTTAGGCCATCTGCGGTTAGGTACAAACCATACGGCATACCAGAAAAGACCAGCTAGCACGTGTTTAGCTTTAAATAAACGCTTTATAAATATTTTATTGATCAAAGGTTATGAAGATAACATTCCTCTGTATCCAGGATTTTTGTAAAGTGACTGACTTATAATAATACGGACGTGGACATAAAATAATACGATACTAGCTTTATTTTTATGACACCCTGTAGGCACAGTCTGTTCAGACTGTTGGTATATTTGGACAGAGTAAATGATCCAGTACCAGGAAGCGCGTTACTCATGTTACTGTTAGTTAAACATGAAAGTAAACACGATGTCAGATGACCCCAAAAACCAAACAGTCAATGTGATAAGAGGTTTGCACAGAGCGGACTACAGAAGCATTGTCAGGTAACGTCAGCTAGTGCTTAATACAGGGTATGACATCTCCTAGTTGTTAGTTGGTAGCAAACTGGGTTATTTTCTTTCAAGAAAAATTGTACTGCCCTTTTTACGCAGTAAATACTTCTAAGACAAAATCTTTTAGAAGGGTGTTTCAACAAGAAGTTGTCCAGACCTTATGTCAACATGATCAGGTGGCATCATTACTTGATTTGGTAGTCTTTTATTTTCAGGTTATAGTTGAATGCTTGCTGAGCAGTTATGGTGCAAAGTTTTACACTTACTGGTGCACCAAAGAAAGAAAATGAAATATTCTAGAGAGCAATGCAATGCAAACTAAGTCAGAAAGTGTGTTTAAAGGGGAATAACTCTTGATAGACTCCTGAGAGAATGATTGATGGTCCCTTTGTATTGCAGGTGCAGAAATGTCTACCCCAGTTACAGAGGCTGCTAACCCAATCACAAAGAACATAGATGTAGCCAGTCCATTAGGTACATGTAAACACTAATTATCAGTTTGCTGTGCCTTATCAACAGTACCTGACATTGTTTTAAAGTACATTTTTTCTCTTTCATTTAGATATAGTTTCTTTGCTTCACAAATGTGATCAAGAAATATTTGAAGGTTGGAACCAGTATAAAGTAAGTTGCAAATAATTTCTTATATGTATAATAATACAGCATTGGAATTTATATTTAACGCCTTAACGTTTAGGAGACATATATTAAAGGTATTAGAAAAATTTCTCATGATAAATGTCAAGTTCTTGAAATGTTCTTTATTTTCAGAATTTATTTGATGCAGATGTGTTGGCAACCTTAGACAAATTAATTAGTGTTGCAGCCTCTATTATTGAGGTTTGTTTAGCAAGTTTATCACATAGATCCCTTGTCATTGAAATACATTTATTTTTACCAATAACATTCTCTATTTGATTGACTTTATCTCAAAATGGAGGATCCTGAACAAAATGTTGAATGCATAACATGACTGAATTTTATTTTTCAGAATCCTGCTACAGGTGCTATAGTATTAAGTGGCTGTGGAACATCCGGCCGGATTGGTTTTATTACGGCAGTAAGTTAACTTGTTCCATTATTATGAGAATTCCAATGATGACTATTTAGAGATGATGACAGCTGTCACTCTTTGTTACAGAGGACTTTCAATGCAAAGCTGTGTGAATTGTCCAGACTGCCATGTTTCAAATACCTTATAGCAGGGAGAGACAAGTAAGAACGCCACATACAAATGGACAAGGAACCATTATTAGTTCATTGGATTTTCACTGTGATCTATAATAAATCTTGTCATTTCATTTTTATATCATAACAAGGACTCTAATTTCTAGATGTAGATTCCCTTTATTTACCTGATTGTAATTATTTTCTGTGTTGGATTCAGAGCCCTGTTTACTTCCCAAGAGGCCCCCGAAGACGACCCACAATGTGGAGTGGAAATGCTGAAGGAGGTCTGTATATAGAGTCAGCTACATGCTTTAAAATATAAGGACCATTGTTTTGTAATCCAATGTAAAATTCTTGATTTATTGCCAGGCAACAGTTGGGAAGAAGCATGTGCTCTTTATTGGCATAACATGTGGGTTGTCTGCCCCTTTTGTGGGAGGACAGCTTCAGTATTGCTTGGACAACCTAGATGTGTTCACACCTGTAGTTCTAGGATTCAATCCCACCCATCAAGCAAGGTAAAGTCAGGTGATATCTGGATATCTAGATGTGTTCACACCTGTAGTTCTAGGATTCAATCCCACTCACCAAGCAAGGTAAAGTCAGGTGATATCTGGATATCTAGATGTGTTCACACCTGTAGTTCTAGGATTTAATCCCATCCATCAAGCAAGGTAAGGTCAGGTGATATCTGGATATCTAGATGTGTTCACACCTGTAGTTCTAGGATTCAATCCCACTCACCAAGCAAGGTAAGGTCAGGTGATATCTAGATGTGTTCACACTTGTAGTTCTAGGATTCAATCCCATCCATCAAGCAAGGTAAGGTCATATGATATCTAGATGTGTTCACACCTGTAGTTCTAGGATTCAATCCCACTCCTCAAGCAAGGTAAGGCCAGGTGATATCTAGATGTGTTCACACCTGTAGTTCTAGGATTCAATCCCATCCATCAAGCAAGGTAAAGATTAGCTGAGAGAAATTAAACAGCTGTGAATTAAGTGCTACAGGCACAAAAAAATATTTTTTGAAGCTCATTCTCCTTTGCTTGTTGTTGAAGTAATGTCAATGTTCTGGACTGCATATGAAAACAAAATTGGTGTTGTGTGACCATGTACTCTTTTTTCTCTTCTTTTAGAAATAATCCAATAGAAAAATGGGATTCCACTTTTTTACAAGGCAAGTTTTAAGCGAAACATGTCAGACAAGCTATCCGTTGTAGATGATCACCAGAAACAACCCAAATCTGAATAGAATTTAGAAGAAATTGGTAATTAAGGTACAAGTGGTTGTCACAATATTTTTTTTTCCTTGCAGTGGTGAACAAAATGGAAGAAATGAAAGCCTCCTCTAAAGTGTTTATCCTGAATCCTGTTGTGGGGGTATGATATTTCTAAGTGTAAACAAACCTGTGTTTCTCAGAAATAACATATTGCAAATTAAAGCATTAATTTTTCAGTTTATTCGTTTCTTTTTTTATCTTAGCCAGAGCCCATCACTGGATCTAGTCGAATGAAGAGTGGGTCAGCAACGAAAATCCTTTTGGAGACAATTTTTGCCGGTGCTACATTGTCCGTTCTGCCTGTGGAGAGACCTTGGTAAGTACTTGTGTATTCATCTGGATGAAACATGCTAAGGATTCATTACTTATTGTGAATTGTAACTGGTCCTTGTTTATTCAATTTGTTGGTTCTGAACTGTTAACGATAGCTTTTAGTTAATGTTTATATGAATGATTTTTTAGGCAGACAGAACCCTTCCTTAGGTGCTATCAAGCTGTATGTAATCATATTTATACCAAAGAAAACACAACAAATATTGCTCAGATGGTAGAAATGGCAGGAAATAGGTATGTATTCAGTACTGGAATTAAATTACCAGTATTTAAATAAATGATTCCTCCAAAATAATGACTTTATTTTTTCTCCAGTTTAAGGTCTAACGGCAGTATATACTACGTGGGTGAGGACACGCTAGGAATCATGGGAATGATTGATGCTTCGGAATGTCCCCCTACTTATGGATCTTGTTAGTTTCTCTTCTCTCACAATTTTCTTAGGTAAATTTTCTTGATAAGAATTTTTTCGTGGGCCATAGAATTTTACAAGATAACTTGAACTATTTTAGCTCTTTCGGATGTTAGAGGATTTTTGGACCAAGGCTACAAAGCTTTCAGGAACAATGATGGAGACCTCAGCTTACTGGTGAGTTCATCTTTAATAGCCATTCTCTGTAAGCTTTTAAACTCTTAGTGTGTATAGGTGTATGCAGGTAAATGTTTCAGATAAATTTAAAAATGTTACAAAATTATAAGATTTTCATAAATGCAACTTTTAAAAATAGGTCAAAAATCTCTAAATTAAAAATTAAATGTGGATGTTTAATCACCATGCTTACCTATCCATGCCCTACCTTTTTGCAAAAATTTGATTTTTTTAAGCTCTTGTAAATTTTACATAATTTTTTTATGTAAGAATTGTTGTGCAATAACCTTGAACTTAGATCATTTAGAAAATCAATGCCAATGACATTTTCATTATTATGAATTATAACCTCAATATTTTACACTCCTAGGTAGAGAATTTGGTTGCTTAATTAATTGTTTTTAAATATTTCCTTATTTATTTTCAGGGTAAACACTTTCAGATATCATATAACGATATGAAGAAGGACATTCTACCTTTTGTGAAGCCCTCTGATCTAGTCATTTACTTATCTCAGAGTAAGTACTTGTCACTTTAAGGAAGCTGAAAATATATTTTTTAATTTTATTTAAAATGAATGTATTTTGCTGTAAGGTAAAAGGAAAAATGACTTTGAAGATAAAGTTTCCAAATTATATTCAAGTAGTATTGTACATGTACACTTAACCTATAAGGAAAAAGAATTATTCCAATCTAAACTTAATTTGCTTATTTATTGAGAAAACAGCTTTTACTTCCACCTTTAAGATGAAAAAAAACTTTGCCTTTTTTATTAAAATCAGAATGTTTTAAAGTTACAAAAGCAAAAAAGCATAATATACACCTACCGGTAGTTCAAAAATTCACAATATCTTATACCGTAAATCTGGAAATTTTTGCCGTAGATTAATTTTTAGCAAAGTTGCGAGTTCATTGCATTCGCAAAAATATTTTTCTTAAAAATAAATTACCATAAGAAAATGTGAACAAGCAGTTGTCATTTACAAAATGTTGAAACGTAAAAATTAATCAACGGTATTTTGACCCGAATTCGCAAAATAAAATCGACGTAAAAATTTCCAGATTTACGGTAATCACAAATGTCCTAAAAATTGTACATTTTTTAAAACATAATAGAAAATTCTTCATAAGATTTACTACACTGTTTCATGATTTCTGAACTTCAATAAGACTTTGATAGCGATTTTCAATTTTATTTATCAAAATGTTTCCATGATGTTATCAAAAAGTTCTCCAGATATTAACGTAAATTGTATATAGCCTTGGACATGTTCTGTATCAAATGAATTCTTAACTTTTTACATTGGAAGTGTATATTGTATGTTTTTCTTCATATAAATGCCCAATACCTAGAAATATGGATTTTTCAGATGGTAAAATTGATGAAACAATGACAAAGTGCCACTGCAAGAAAGCCCTTATTTCTTTTGCCAATAATTCCTCTACTGTAAGTATAATAAACTCATCTGAGCATGAAACATCTCATCCTGTAGTTTAACAATTCTCAATCTCTGTTTATTTCCTCATCTTCAGACAGCAGATTTTATGCTTATCATAAAAAAAACTCTTCAAACTTATTCAAACTTTTTGAATTCAATTCTTCATCAAACTGAAGTTTTTCTTTAATGACAAAGTTTTGAGTTTGTTTTGAATGATAGATGACTTTTCCAGAGTGATAAGATGGATGTTGAAGTTAAGATTTTGCTGCCAAGAGAGGAGTTAGTGTCCCTGATTGGCGAGGGTGCTGTGGACCAGTTCCTGATGTTGTTTGAGGAGATCAGCATTAAGTGGATCTGTAACGCCATCACAACAGGTGCACACATCCTCAAGGGGAAAGTCTTCCAGAACATCATGGTGGACCTCAAAGTCAGGTGAGCACAGTCTTCTACACAATATGTCAGGTTTCTGTTAAACTACCAGTACATGTTAACTTACACACCTCGTATTTGAGTTAACTGAATTGCTCTTCACCACAACTGCTAATCAGTAATACATTGTACATAGAACTCCAATTTTTACAGGATTTACAGTCATGCATTATGTAACAATTATGTTATATACAGTATATTGAATCTGAAAATTGACGTTATTTTGAATCATTGTCTAGTAAAGTAAAAAGTTGACATAATGAAACATTATTTCTATTTCTGTTTCCAGCAATAACAAGCTTTTCCACAGAGCCATTGGCATTATACAGGTTTGTTTCTAACTCGTATCATTTGAAACAGTTTCATCTAGAGGTTTTATCAAATGTGTGAAAAACTGAAAATATTATTTAGAGAAAAAACACTTTCTTGCATGTGAAATGTCATTGAATTAATGTACAATGCTTCAGTCAGTGGCTCCTTTTTGCTGGTCCTACTTTATTACATTTCCTGTTTTAGAGGTTCTCAGGACTGTCCACAGAAGAGAGTAGGGATTACCTGCTCCAGTCTATTTATAGCACAGACAGCCTGACGGAGGATGTCAGAAGTTATAATATATCTAGTCATATAGAAACCGCTACACCTCTATATCAGGTACAGTATAACACATTGTGTATGTACCCTAAATCTGAAAATTTATGTCAATTTCTGCAAATTTTGGTCAAATTGGTATCTGTTAATTTTGTAGGTTGTACCTCGAGCTCTGCTGTCGGCCATTTTACACTGCAGTGTGTCAGAATCCCAGAAACTTTTAAACAATGAACCAGTGATACAAAGGGTTATATCTCAAACACTGTCGGGACTACAGAATAACAAATAAAACTGTTACATCTCAAACACTGTGGGGACTACAGAATAAATAAAACTGTTATATCTCAAACACTGTCAGGACTACAGAATAACAAATAAAATTGTTACATCTCAAACACTGTCAGGACTACAGAATAACAAATGAAACTGTTACATCTCAAACACTGTCAGGACTACAGAATAACAAATGAAACTGTTACATCTCAAACACTGTAACTACATGTGCAAACAGGTTTGAGATGTAACAGTTTCATTTGTTATTCTGTAGTCCTGACAGTGTTTGAGATGTAACAGTTTCACTTGTTACATGTATTCTGTAGTCCAAACAGGTGTGAGAGGTAACAGTTTTATCAAATGTGGATTACTTTAAAATTACATATTATACACAGGAAGATTTAAGGCCAGATAAATAGCTAAAAAGAATGGGTTGAACCTCTGGATTGTATCTGCTTCAGTAACAATTATGGAGCATCAGCTCATAATAAATTAATGGAACCCGGCCAGGACAACTTATTTCGAAAATTCTCTTTCTGCACATTTTAAAATGTGAACTTGCTTACTGTATACAGGGTTATTTTCGCCCCATGGTATTTTCGCCCTTTGACACTTGCAAACAATTTTGCCCCATTTTAAATTCGCCCAGTCATAGTTTTGTTTAAGAAATTATACTGTATTATTTGAGTTCGCCCCGTTTTAAATTCGCCCATATGAGGGTAGGGCAAAAGGGGGAAAAATAAAATGGGGGCGAATATTTCCCTGTATACAGTATTACTGTTATAAATTCTTCATGAAGTGTACATCATTTCAGTAGGCTTAATACTGGTACATTGTAGATATCAAAGTAAATAATGACTATGAAAATCTTTAAAACTTCTCCAATAACAATTTTATTTGAACTATAGTCTCTGTGGTCTGTATTTTTCAAGTGTTCTCCTCCATTTTGGGTACAAGATTTCTTGGGTATATGTTCTGCGGCATTATAGAACCACAGTGATATAAATTATCCAACCATAACCAATCACTGCTCTGATCCTGATCATTGATTTTATGCATTCTTTGTTTGTTGATAAAATCCTTGCCAATTGATGGTGGTGGTGTTATTTTTCATAACATTCAGTGGGTTCAATATGTGTTCTGACATTCCAATTTACATGTAGTTAATTTAAAAAATGCATAATTATTTATACAGTATATCATTTTTAAACTAAGAGGTAAAGATAACTGTTCAGGTATTTTGCAGAACAAATGATTTTCCCTAGTGGGTGTGAAAAATACATGTACATGTCATTGACTATAAAAGTAAATAAAGTTCATGACTACCAAAAAAAAAAAAGGAAAAATTTGAATTGATACTACAATTTGTTTGGAAAACCTTTTGTGAGCTTTTAATTAATACATTCATCCATTATGTCATATATCATCATACACACAACCATGTTTGCTTGAATACCGGATATAAATTTAAATCAATGTCCAGGCTCATTCATTCACAATGACTGTTATTTGAAATTTCCTCATACAGGTATTGTATAAGAGCATCAATTCTACTTCTGTCTTTTTGGGTTATTGCCTGAATTTTAAAAAGTGCTCCTGATGTATCTTCCAAAAGTTTCATGGAATTACCCTGAAAAGAAAAAAATATAATAAATGCTTTCTCTTTGGAAAACCCATACACATTTTTGAATTACTAGCAATATGTTCAATTCTTTAGATAAAATAGGTCAAATTTTGTGTTTTAAATACCAAATTATTCTATTGAATCAGTGAATGCTACACGATTATTATTCTTTTGAAAATATTGTTGAAAATATTGTCAGAATTTACCATATTTAGTTATCTGCTACTTAATTAATGTGATTGACATCATTTCCCCTTGCTCTCAAGATGACAAAACTTGCAAGGTTTATAATGATAGTAACTAAAGTACCCCGGTAAGAGGCATGTATCAGTGAAATACAATTTCTTAAACTATTCATAGAATAGATGCATTTATTACATTTTTACCCGTGAAATACTGTAATTTATTCATTGAATAAAAATGATATCCTGTCACAGTGTGAAAGGATATCAAAATGATATCCTGTCACAGTGTGACGAATATCAGAAGTGCGGTAAAACTCTCGATTTCCCTTCCCATAACGAAGATTGCTGAAAAAAAATCTTCCTTGGCCTAATATAAGATAGATGGAAATAAATAAACCATTCTGACAGCGAATAAAACTGTCAAAATTACCAAAAATATGTTGCCAAATTCATGTCTACAGTGTTTTCACCTCACTTAGCTATGACGTCTCAACCGCTCAACTATGACGTCACCAGCCTAAGACTGTATTACAAAAAGACAGAGGCAAGGGAAAAATCAAAGAATTTTTTTTTTTAAATGTAATAAACAGGAAATTCAATGTTTTGTAGTTGAATATGGAATTTATTTCACTCGTGAGACAGGATTTTTTGATATTCGCACTCGTGAAAATATCAAAAATCCTGTCCCACTCGTGAAATAAATTCCATATTCAACTACAAAGCATTGAATATCCTCTATATATTCATAATGAGGTTAATGTTATCTATGTGTAAGTACCATCTTTCAAATTTAAGGTTGTGCAAATTAATAATGACAATATGCTGGGATAAAATTTTCAGGATAAATACCAAGCTGTGTCCTCTAAAAGCTACCAAAATATCATTCTAGTTATCGATATTGCATTATGGCCCTCTTATCTAGAATCAGGACTCACCTTTGGGAAAGACAATAGTTTGAATCTCTCAGAGGGGTACATGATGGCACGATTGTCCCAGCTGATCCCTATTACTTTGTTTTTCAGTCTCTCATATACAGATGCCAGGTATAAAGTTATCTTCCTGCGTTCCAACAAAATCTTCATGTTTTCTGAGCTGGTGAAATCTAAGATATCCTGTAAAATCACCAATAATTATAGGAACTCTCCGAGAAATTGCATTGTTAAAAATAATTTTTCATTAATAGAAATTTTTTTTTGGTTATACAAGTTTATGGTAGTACATGTATACAATGTTTCTATGAAACATATATGCGTATACAACATGGAACTGCTTCAGTGTATCTATTCATTAATTAATGTAACTAAATACAGCTCATTTGCATTATATGTTTCTATCTGTAATTATTGACCATACTCAATGAAGTATACAGTAAATTGAAAAACTATCTTGGAGAATTAGAATTTCCCTTTAATTAATTTTCAGTGGTATACTAACAATTTCAGGAGAAAGCAATGGTAGAAATATCTGATTATTGTACTAACCTGTTCAGGTGAAAGCAATAGTAGGACATGCATGTGTATTTACCAGTTCAAGAAAGAACTGCTGTAGGACTAAATGGTTAACTAACCACTTCAGGAGAGAACTGTTGTAGGACTTTAGGATTGTGTAGTATTTACCATTTCTGGAGAGAGCAGCAGTAGGACTTTATGGCTATGTACTCTGTAGGGATAAGAAGCTGCCAGAGGTAGAACCAGAGCTGCCCGGGACTCTCTCTCTCTCCTCAGAATCTTCTGTAATGTAGCTTCATTGATAGACTTCACATCCATCAAGTATCTACAATCATATTATATATGTGAATTACTTCAGGATGACTGTCAACCTCATTAATATTCAAGCTTTATTCCTCTTTTTATGAGAAGTGTATATTACCTGTCACAGAAAAATGAGAAATTAATCTTAAATCATTATGAGTCTTTCTACAATGAGTTTTCAACTTTTAAAATCGATTTTCATAGTCATCTGAGTTTTTGAAAACTATTGAAATTTTAGTAAGAACATTTGTATTGTAATATCAAGTTTAGAGTAATGATTTACAAAGCTCTGAAACACTGAGAATGCTATCAGCAGGAAGTATCCATTTATAAAGTTGAATACAAAGTGTTGAAGAGAACAGATCAAATTCACATTGAAGGTCAATTTAAAAAAATTTTTTACTGTGGAATCAAGAAAACTTTTATGGGCCAATTTTGTAGATTGCGATAACTTTTCAGGTTCAAGGGGACATAATTTTGTGTATTAACTGATAACTACAACAGGATAATGACTCATTTTATAGAACGTTCATAACCCAGTATAATTTTGTTGAGGATGTAAATTCTTCGATGCAGGGTACCAACAAATTTCACAAATATTGAGCCACCGCAAAATCTTAGAAATCTAAGAATTCCACAATAGATGATTTGCCCTCATCACTTTGTATTTATTTATGATGTTACTGGAAATAGTACTACCGGTACTATGAACACTTTCTTGCCAACTGAACCAAATTCAAAAAAATTGAAAAGTATGGTCATGGACATAGGGAAGCTGAAGGTCAGAAGTTTTTGATTCAGTGCTTACTGAGCAGGTTCTGTTGTGTCCTTACTGTCGTAGATCATAACACCGATCTGTGTGTCTGTAAATCTCCCCTGTATGGACAGGATCAGCTCCAGTAGTACAGAGTCCAGGTCCTCCACACCCTCCAGGGACTCAGGGACAACCAGGACAATATCTACCGGGGTAGCACCGGGGTCAGAGGTCACTGTCAAATTGTAAATGAAAGACAGTCCAACCGCAGGGTACAAATACTAACTGACATAAAAATTAATAATACATGAAGATCATAACAATATACTTTGAATATGGGTTTTAATAAATTGCTGCCAAATATTGTCATCTATGACATTAATCAGCCAAAAAGTTAACCTGGGATAAAAATTTTAGATATATTGAACCTGTGTTCAAATTTATGTAGTACCGTATCAAAATGCTACACTTTACATAAATGTATTCAGTGACTTTCTAATTTCTGATATCTTAGTTTGTTAAAATTTTTGACAATATGATTTCAGTGCTTTGACACCAGATGACTTACTGGTGTGAGTATAGTTCTGGGTGACATTCTGGATTTTCCCTTCTTGATGACAGTATTTGGGTCCACCGAGAGCGTAGGCTGGGAGGAATTGACTGAGTTTCTGTAATATGACTCCCCGGGGGTCCCTCCAGTCTGTCCCCTCCTCAGAGTCCGGATTTCCCAGCAGTCCCAGCGTCTCGTTACTGAACTCAGGCGACAGCTCCACACGGCATTCATTATGAGGAATAAAGAAGGTCAGGTTAATGCCATGAGTTGTTTTTATATTTATTGTGTGGTTGTTGGGTTTGCTTATTTGTGCGTCTTTCTGGGTAGATGGTAGTGTGCCACTAGTGAGACAAAATACATACATGTACTTCATGATCAGACATAAAGGTGCATACCTAAACAATCTTTATTGAAATTTTTAAAAATGTTTTTAACCATGAAGATTAAATTCAGTTTATTTTAAAAAGACATCTCTAGGATTGATAAATAATACAGTAGATTTCTTATTTTTCGTGAGTACTTTATATCATGAACTGGGTCTTTAATGTCAAATCGCGAGAATTATAATTCGCGAATGGACGATTGATCAACAGAATTTACATAGATTTCAGCACCATAAAAATAAAAGCGAGTAATATTTTTTTGCGAGTGATGCTTCTCGCGAAATTACGTGATAATCAATTCTTCGCATATAATTAGGAATCTACAGTATACAGACTGTTATAGAACATGCAGTTATAAAGCATTTAATCACAATCTTGCTAGATAATTTCAATATTGGTAGTAAAGAAGATATAAATTTATAAACTGTATGCAGATACTTAAAATTTATCTCTGTCTTACACTGAAACATCACAATCTCCAAGGAATAATCTTCCATTGTTGTCCACGGTAACAAAACTGTCCACGGTAAACAGAGAAATTTCACTGACAGACATGACTACTGCAAACCTTCCGCGGTGGAAATCAGCTACTAACAGGTGTTTACACTCTAGCTTGTTCTCTGAAAATAAATAAATGTAAAGTAGTCTTTAAGTTTGTCTGCAAATCGTGATTACTATTTACTGTGTCTACCAAACTCTCACATGCATATTCACTCCAATACATGCACATACTTTTATTCTTTTTAAATATCAGGCATATTGTACAAATATATCATTACAAACTAGACCACATTTACATGTTTCCACAAATGAGACTGAATATAATTTTTAATTTGCTTGAGAATAAATACTGATATTTCAAGTCTGAGAAGTACCTGGAATTTGAAATGATTTCCCATCAAATGTTGTGATTTGTCTGAACCCCTGTATGATGGCTTTATGGTTTGAGGGCTGTGGAGGTTTCCTTCTCTTTAGTACAGATAAAACATCAGACAGGTACCTCTGACCAATGGTCTCCCTCCAATGCTATAAACATTCAAACAAATAATATGGTTATAACAGCAGGAATAACAAAACTGGTCATCATATATTTAGTTTAAAGTTTAGACCAAGGATAAAGTTTTCATGACAGATTGACAGAATGTTAGATGAATGAGATTTAATGTCCCCTCACTTTAATGGAAGCAGGAGACAAAAACACCTTTTAACTTACTAAAATTGTCTTCATCTTAAGTGGGAATGGCTGTACCCAGACTAGTTTGCCCTCCTTTAAGACCTCAAGGAATTTCCTGTTCAAGCTGTTTGTGGTCCCTAACAAAAGGCCAGGGGGGTTCTGGAGTGAATGTCCAATGATCTTTAGCAATTCAGCAATGTACACATCCAAGTGCCAAATAAATGCTGATCCTTAATTAAAAATAGGCACAATAAAATAGTTTATGAAGCAGTTTAATAAAAAAACAGCTAGGGTATAAACCAAGGTGATAGATTTTCTCCAGTTTATTAATATACACTGTAGATTATGATGTTGATCAGTTTTGGTACACTCACATACAAAGTTGTCCTGTAATATTTATTGTACTTTACCTGTTTCATTCTCAAAAATCAGTTTAGACTCTAATATACGTCTAACTGGACTAATAAGGGGAACAGTTTGCAGAAATGGCTCCAGGTGACTCTTGTAAAAAGTACTCACTGTCTATATAAAGAAACAAACATTCTTAAGTTGTAGTCTGTTACTAAATTCACAAGGAAAAAAGGTGAAATTTAGTCAGAAAAGTCCTTACCATGTTCAGAAAAGGGATTTCTTTATCTGGGAATGTCTTCCTAAGATTTGTCATCATTGTTTTGCTTGCTGAAATGAGAGCCTGCCCCACAAAGTGTACAGATGTCTTGATGGCCCTCAGCTGATGGAGTAGGGTTGTTTTATCTGTGGGCCAGGACAGATTGTGTGTGATCTGAGTCGACCCAGTCACTTCACTCTCCATAGTCAGGACACGGCTCACATTGGACTGTATAAAATATAAAAACAATCTCGATAAAATCAAAGGTTCCAACAAGTATCACAGTTTACTAAAACCCTAAATCCCCACTGAATACTGACCTATTCATTTACATAATGATACATCAAATCTGAAGTCTCATTAAACCATGGGAATAAAGGAGACTAATGCATATACACTTATACAGTGCTAATGCAATCAAATGAGAAGTGTCAATTAATTCAACATCTGATTTAATCATCATATAACAAAATTTTCTAACGGTAAACACATTTTATCATATCTTTAAATCAAAAAGAATTTATTTACCTGAACTTCTGAAGTCAGTGTTACATTAATATGTATGGGTGAGACAAACTGGACATCCACCACAAAGTTTTTGTTCCACTTGGAGAATTTACCCTGGATATCAAACTGTCCAACTTTCCAAGAATCAAACTTCCCAGCAATACCAAATGTCATATCCATCGGAATAAAAGAGATCTACAAAATAATTATCAATATGAATCCAGATTCCCACAATTTAATGTTGGGTACAAAAAAAAACTACCATTATAATGCTTCTTTATAAAAATCTCTGTTCATTATAAATTCAACACTTTTATTTCCAACAAGATGTGTTTGTGAAACACTATGCGCCCAGCGGCAACAAAGTTAAAAAAAAAAATATTTTAAGCATATAGGTCACAGTCAAGGTCACAAGGTAATTGATCTTGGTATCATTTGAAAGAACTTGATCAGTGAAGTATGCACACTAAATATGAAGTTTCTATCTCTTATAGTTAAAAAGTAATGGTGAAGGTTCAAAAAAACTATTTTTAGCATATAGGACACAATCAAGGTCACAAGGTCATTGACCTTGGTGTCATGTGAAAGGCTTAATTAGTGGTGTATGGATATGTCTCTATCTTTTATGGTTCAAAAGTTATGGCGAAGGTTAAAGTTCGCAGAAAAAATTATTTTTAGCATAAAGGTAACAGTCAAGGTCACAAGGTCATTGAACTTGGTGTCATTTAAAAGAGCTTAATTATTCAATTATGCATACCAAATATGAAGTCTCTCTCATTCATGGTTCAAAAGTTATGGCGAAGGTTAAAGTTTGCAGACAAACAGACAAACAGATAAACAGACAAACAGAACAAAAACAATATACGCCTCGGATCTTTCGATCCGGGCGCATAAAAACCTTAATAATCATGCAATCTTTGAATGCTTCAACAAAATTGATTGAATCTGTGTCAGATTATATATTGTTATTACATGTTGTATTAAGTTTCGGCTAATCTTACTTTCACCATTTTCTATGCACCTAACCTTATATTCAATATCCCAGCTCGGCTTACTGAGTTTACTAACCTGATCTCTCCTCTCTATCATTATTTTCAATCTTTTCTGCTTACCTCACATTTAACGACTTCATCTCAGCTTTACCTTGTTATAAACTTTCTTTACTCAGTTTAACCCGCATTCCAAAGCTTCCCCCTTCTTACTTCACTATAAGCAATTCCTGCTCTACCTAGAGTCCTAGTTCTGCTTACCTTGCTTTGAATGGTTCCGCTGTGATTGAGGAATGCTTTGGAATGGTTTCCTTTGATTGTAATATTGTGTCTGGATGTCCAGTATGAGTTGGAGTATCCCAAGATAATATCCACAAGGTATTCCTGCGATTGATCAGTTGAATTAAGAACTACAGTATCTGTAATAAGAAAAAAAAATCAATTACCATTAATGTATTCTAATACTGTGTATTATTTTATGCCCTTTTAATGAAAGACTATTTATATACATTATAAATGAAGGATTCAAACAAAAATACTTTGAAAATTCTATTTAATATACACTGAAGTTGTCTTGTTAGAAACATAGAGACAATGCCCCTACAGGGCAAGGAGAAATTATTCAATCAATTGACACATAATGTCAATAGTTGCTTAATAATGAACTATAAGTTGTCTAGAACATGAATGATACTTTACTGTCTGTCTGATAGTCGAGGAGCTTCCATGGAGTAACTTGGTGGGCTCTGAATATCACTGTCACAGTCTCGTTTTTCTTCTTCTGATCTTGTAGCTTCCATTCTTGTTTTTTCAGTGAGATTTGATTGGACATGTTGAAATTCCAACTGGGTTGCACAGTATTTGTAATATTTAAGGAAGAACTTAATTCACAATCTTCAAAATAAATCTGTTTGGCAAATAAGTTGATATCTGCAGTAACAGATGCATCTAAGTCCTCTCTGGAGACATCAAATTCCTTCTGTCTTCCATACAGTAAACTTGAGTTGAACCAATGCCTACAAATTTCAAAATTTTGTTAAAACTAAATCTATATATTTAGTAATTCTTTGAATTTGATCAATATTAACCATCTCAAAGATGAATTAAATATCAAATATCAGAGATATATCAAAGTAAGCTGACAGGCCTAACAGTTCAGTCAAACCTGGGTATCAGAGATATCTCAAAGTAAACTGACAGACCTAACAGTACAGTCAAACCTGGGTATCAGAGATATCTCAAAGTAAACTGACAGACCTAACAGTACAGTCAAACCTGGGTATTAGAGATATCTCAAAGTAAACTGACAGACCTAACAGTACAGTCAAACCTGGGTATTGGAGATATCACAAAGTAAATTGAAAGACCTAACAGTACAGTCAAACCTTGATATCAGATATCTCAAAGTAAACTGACAGACCTAACAGTACAGTCAAACCTTGGTATTAGAGATATCTCAAAGTAAACTGACAGACCTAACAGTACAGTCAAACCTGGGTATTAGAGATATCTCAAAGTAAACTGACAGACCTCAAAGTAAACTGAGTTTAACTGACAGACCTAACAGTACAGTCAAACCTGGGTATCAGAGATATCTCAAAGTAAACTGACAGACCCTAACAGTACAGTACAGTCAAACCTGGGTATCAGAGATATCTCAAAGTAAACTGACAGACCTAACAGTACAGTCAAACCTGGGTATTAGAGATATCTCAAAGTAAACTGACAGACCTAACAGTGCAGTCAAACCTGGGTATCAGAGATATCTCAAAGTAAACTGACAGACCTAACAGTACAGTCAAACCTGGGTATCAGAGATATCTCAAAGTAAACTGACAGACCTAACAGTGCAGTCAAACCTGGGTATCAGAGATATCTCAAAGTAAACTGACAGACCTAACAGTACAGTCAAACCTGGGTATCAGAGATATCTCAAAGTAATCTGACAGACCTAACAGTACAGTCAAACCTGGGTATCAGAGATATCTCAAAGTAAACTGACAGACCTAACAGTGCAGTCAAACCTGGGTATCAGAGATATCTCAAAGTAAACTGACAGACCTAACAGTACAGTCAAACCTGGGTATCAGAGCTATCTCAAAGTAAACTGACAGACCTAACAGTACAGTCAAACCTGGGTATCAGAGATATCTCAAAGTAAGCTGACAGACCTAACAGTACACACAAATCTGGGTATCAGAGACATCTCACAGTAAGCTGACAGACCTAACAGTACAGTCAAACCTGGGTATCAGAGATATCTCAAAGTAAACTGACAGACCTAACAGTACAGTCAAACCTGGGTATCAGAGCTATCTCAATGTAAACTGACAGACCTAACAGTGCAGTCAAACCTGGGTATCAGAGATATCTCAAAGTAAACTGACAGACCTAACAGTACAGTCAAACCTGGGTATCAGAGCTATCTCAATGTAAACTGACAGACCTAACAGTGCAGTCAAACCTGGGTATCAGAGCTATCTCAAAGTAAACTGACAGACCTAACAGTTCAGTCAAACCTGGGTATCAGAGATATCTCAAAGTAAACTGACAGACCTAACAGTACAGTCAAACCTTGATATCAGAGATATCTCAAAGTAAACTGACAGACCTCACAGTGCAGTCAAACCTGAGTATTAGAGATATCTCAAAGTAAACTGACAGACCTAACAGTACAGTCAAACCTTGGTATTAGAGATATCTCAAAGTAAACTGACAGACCTAACAGTACAGTCAAACCTGGGCATTAGAGATATCTCAAAGTAAACTGACAGACCTAAAAGTACAGTCAAACCTAGGTATCAGAGATATCTCAAAGTAAACTGACAGACCTAAGAGTGCAGTCAAACCTGGGTATTAGAGATATCTCAAAGTAAACTGACAGACCTAACAGTACAGTCAAACCTTGGTATTAGAGATATCACAAAGTAAACTGACAGACCTAACAGTACAGTCAAACCTTGATATCAGATATCTCAAAGTAAACTGACAGAGCTAACAGTACAGTCAAACCTTGGTATTAGAGATATCTCAAAGTAAACTGACAGACCTAACAGTACAGTCAAACCTGGGTATTAGAGATATCTCAAAGTGAACTGACAGACCTAACAGTACAGTCAAACCTGGGTATTAGAGATATCTCAAAGTAAACTGAGTTTAACTGACAGACCTAACAGTACAGTCAAACCTTGATATCGGAGATATCTCAAAGTAAACTGACAGACCTAACAGTACAGTCAAACCTGGGTATCAGAGATATCTCAAAGTAAACTGACAGACCTAACAGTACAGTCAAACCTGGGTATTAGAGATATCTCAAAGTGAACTGACAGACCTAACAGTACAGTCAAACCTGGGTATCAGAGATATCTCAAAGTAAACTGACAGACCTAACAGTACAGTCAAACCTGGGTATCAGAGATATCTCATAGTAAACTGACAGACCTTACAGTACACTCAAACCTTGATGTCAGAGATATCTCACAGTAAGCTGACAGGCCTTACAGTACTGTCAAACCTTTGTATCTCAAACTCATGCAATGAGGAAAGGAAAAGCAAGGATATCTGGGGATTTGAGATAATGAGGGTAAAGAATATAAAAACAGTGGTTGGAACTTTCAACTCATTTCGACATACTGGTAAGTAAGGTATTTGAGATATTAATGATTGACATAGAGAAATTCCACTGCAATTACCAAACAAAACAAGAGGCCCACAGGCCTTATAGGTCACCTGAGTATCATGTAACAACTTTCCAACAATTGAATTTGGTTCGTGTTTTAAACCAGAGGCTATGAAATTCACAATTTTGAAAGAGGCACCATTGCTTATCATAATTATACACTTAGCCTGCTTACTCTAGTTACTAAATACTAGTGTTGGCAAATCGGACGATTTTTAGTAACCGGTTACTCGCTTCATCTTCCGATCGAGTACCCGGTTACTCGGATGATTTTTGGTAAAAGTATCAATAACTATTATTTATCTATTATTTTATACTTATTGGTAGTAGTAATGCACAAACATATTGTATAGAGACGTTATACTTACAATACACACATACGATATCGTCAAAGATTTACGATTTTAAAATAAAGAAAATTAATAGGGAATTCACACACAAAGACAAATAAATACGTCAACGTCAATCACCAGTTTACACTTTCTTTTTCACCCCCAGAAATATATAGCAATCAAGGATAATAATTATTTACATACTCCATAATAAATAGTTAAATGTGGGATTTGAGATAAATCACTGGCTTAAAGAATATAAAAACAGGGATTGGAACTTTCAACTCAGCTGTTTTTCCTTTGTTACAACTCGACAAGCTTATTACTGGTAAGTCAAATGCGGTATTTGAGATATTAATATGTATACATAGCAAGAAATATCAATTATGCAAGTTACTAATCAAAACAATTTGATTCACTACAACCATGCACTTATAGGTCTAACGGTATCATTAACAATCCAAGGGAAATTGAATTTGTTTACATTTATAAATTATAAAACATTTATATTCATGCGCTTACTATGAAATTTAATTTTGAGTAAGAGGCACCATTAACCGATATCATAATTATACACTTAGCCTGCTTACTCTAGTGCCAACACTACTAAATACCAAGAGGTAGATCAGAGTAACAGAGAAAATGCAATTCCACTTTTTAACCAGTTATGCATCCCATCCCAAAAGAAACCACTGACCCAGATGGGGCCAGATATTTCAAAATTTTGGAAATTTTATCATAAATTTTATTTCATCATAAATGGTTGATTAATACCAAAGAGCAGATTTTAATGCATTAATTTATTTTCAGACTATGAACCCCCCCCCCCCATACCCCTGACCCAGGGGCATGAAATTAACCATTTTGATAGATGCACCTTTCTTTGTCATAAATATATATACTTAGATCATTGGCATAATACCTAGGAGCAAAGGAAAAAGATTTTCAAAGAATTAATGTATTTTCGCTACATAATTAAAAGAGCCCCCCCCCCCCCCCACCAAAAGACAAAACCCCTAACCCAGGGGCCATGAAATTCATAATCTTGGAAGAGGCACTCTTGCTCATCATAACTATCAGTATGCACTTAGTTTAATTAATACCCAGGAGCAGAGAAGAAGATTTTCAAATAATTAATGTATTTTCACTATATAATAGGGCTGGGGAAAAATATCGATATTTCGGTATATTGCAATACAATGACAAAAAATTTCGTATTGCAATAGGTTTTTGTAATATCGATATACAGGCAAAATACTTAGACTAAGGAATTTTATCATTAAATGTAAAAATAAATGGAAGAAAGGTTTGTTATGAAGACAAAAAGTACAACAGTAGCTGTTTTGTGGGTGTATTTTAGAGCATAACTTAAAAAGAATTAACAAGATTTTTTTTTTCTTTTGGTTACTGATCATAGTTATGTACATTCTGCATATAAATGAAAGGTAAATTAATAAGAAAATGCCATTTTATTTTCGTTGAAAATATTGCAATACATATCGCAATACAGTTTAAAATATCACAATATATGGCAATACAAAATCTTTGGCCATTACCCAGCCCTACTATATAATCAATAGAGTCCTTCCCTAACACCGGAACCCCCGATCCTGGGGCCATAAAATTCAATATTTTGGAAGTGGCACTTTTGCTCATCATAACTATGTACTTCGTTAGTTTATTTGATATCAGGAGCAGAGAAAAAGATTTTCATAAAAATAATGCATTTTCACTATATAATCTATATAGCCCAGCCCTAGCACTAGAACCCTGACTCTGGGGCCATAAATTTCACAATTTTTATAGAGGACTCAATGCTCATTACATTCATGCAAACAGTTTGACAGCTTGATGTCCAGGAGTAAAGAAGATCTTTAAAGATTTCATTAATTTTGGTGGTTTTGGCCCCAACCTTCAGGCCCCAGGGGGCGGGGACAATAAAATTCATAATTTTTGTCCCCCTTCACCCATAGATGCTGTATACCAAATATGGTTGAAATTGGTTCAGTGGTTTCAGAGAAGAAGCTGAAAATGTTCAAATGTTAACACATGACAGACGAAGACGAATGAAAATGGATAGCAATAGGTCACCTGAGTGACTCAGGTGACCTAATAAAAAAAGGGAGGGAAATGGGAGAATTCCCCCTCTTCCACACTGAAATCAGTTTTTCAAATCTTTTTTCTGATAAAGTCCTACCTGCTGTTAAAAAAAGTGTTTCTGATCAGTTTTCCAATAGACCCATTACCAATCAAGTACACATAGTTGTCACAGGAGGGGTACACAAAGATAAGTGTGTAGTCTAAGTTTGTTGCAGGGCCCTGTTGTAAAATCAGAGGAGTTCTCCTGGATGTCAGATTTGCCTTCATTCTCCACTTCTGTTTACGTAATATTCCAGACCATTCACACTCTGAGTATGGCCCATCACCATCTTGTCCATATGTGCTTGATTTTGATTTTAAATTCTATGAAAAGGAGTATATATACATGTAAATGAACAGTATATCCAAAATATTTTCATTATATTTATTAAAATATCTAAGAATAAAGTTAAAAATAAAACAATTTAATGCTATTTCTTTCTAACTACATATATTACTTACAATACCACATATATCACTTATACAAGTATTATTGAGACACTATATTGTTTCTTTTATAACAAAAATTATTATGGGTACAAGAAAATCTAATAAAATAAGGAATTTCTTATTTGATGTAAACATAGTATATTTACCTTGGAGTTGTGTAGGTCTGCAGAATTAAACAGTTTATAGAACACATCTATATCTGCTCCTATATTTTGAGACAGACTGATATGGCTTGAGACATTCACAATGTATCTGCCTTTCTGTTCCAGCAGTATGTTACACTGATATCCAGAATTCTTTGCTTCATCAGGCTTTTCTATCTTGGCATTTATCATAAAATTAACCTATTCATAAAATAAAAAATTCGGGGATAATAGGAAACATATTTATGTTTTTCTTGTAAATAGCGAGGAAATTAAAAACAAAAAAGTGCATGTATACGAATCATGTTGAAAAATAAGTCCATTGGCCTGAAAATCATTAGGCCAATCTTTATTTGTTATCTATTCTTATCTAGACTACCTATTTCTAAAACCTAAGAGCTCTAACGCATAATTACCTGGTCCGAATGAAAATATTTATATAATTCGTGGATTATTTTGCTTTCTTAAATATTTTCTTTTTAGTTTTTCTTCTTTCTGTAGACTTATCTGCTCAATGGATCAATGTTTGAAAAAATTCATTATGCATTTTATCAGATTGTTAGACAATAAGAACTGAAGCAGCTACTGGAATCACAATGACACATGTACCTGTTGTTGATGCTGTCTGAGGAATGAGACATCTGCTGAAATATCAAAAAGTGTGTCATTGTTTTCTTCTCTGTATTCTACTTCAACTTCTTGACCTAAACATAAAAATATGAACCTGGTTGTCTTCATATTTTTCAGATTTTGAAATATTAGTACAATGACATGTGACATAAGATATTTGTATTTAGTGATGACATAACTATATCACGATTTCTGGAAAAAAAAAGCTCTCATATGAAAAATATTTAAATTCCATCATTTTTTATATTAAGTGTGCTGAAGGTTTTGTCTAGGGATAACAGTATTAGTTACTTAGTAACAAGTTGTATTTAACACATGAATGATTTAATAGTTAGTAACAAGTTGTGTTTTTGAATTTGTAACATGTTATGTTTGGAATAGCATTAGTTAGTAACAAGTTGTGTTTGTCTTGAGATGGAATAATATTAAAAGTTAGTAACAAGTTGTGTTTGTCTAGGGATGGAATAGCATTAGTAAGTAATGTCATATTTGTCTAGGGATGGAATAGCATTAGTTAGTAACAAGTTGTTTCTGTTTAAGGATGGAATAGCATTAGTTAGTAACAAATTGTGTTTGTCTAGGGATGGAATAACATTAGTTAGTAACAAGTTATGAGTACATGTACAAGAACTAAATGTCAACTAAATGGATTACCTGGATATCCTAAGTGAATAGTGTAATTTCTTATTGAAGTTTCATTTTTATTGAAATCACTTAATTCCATTTCAATAAATACATCAGTTCTGTCTAGATTCTTTGATGCATATTTTGTGTTGAAGTGCAGTGGATATAGGGAGGGCCAAGCCTTAGTGCTGAAGCAGAAAAGTATTATAGTCTCAAAAATAAATGAAAAAGAGTCAAATTTCTACAAAATTTCTCATCAAAACTGTTGTCTAATCCAGCGATTTTCTATAGAACCAGGTGTTCAAATTAAACAAGTTTTACTGTAATATAATTTAATTGTAGGTTTTAAGTTGCAGTGGACTTTAAGAAAAATTACCAAATTGTATTGTAAAGATCAAAGAAGGTATCCACATTAAATCCTACTCACCAGAACAGTTTTCTCTGTAGCTTCCTGTATATATGATCATGATTGTATCTTATTTTATCCCAGATGAAGTTGACTTCAAACTCCGGAGCACTTATTTCAATAGAGCTGTTTCTGGTCAATGTTCCTCCTACATCACTACCGGTAAATGTTTCCTGTATTTGAAAAAAAAAAGAAAAAAGTTCAGGCCATTCGTTTCTCAAGTGCTGAGCATGCCTGAATAAATACAAAGTGTGATATTTGATTGATTGATTGTTTGTTGTTTAACATCCCTCTCAAGAATTTTTCACTCATATGGAGAAGCCACCATTTGCAAGTGGAGAGATACAAATTTCGTCGTATACTTGGCACTCGGGGCTATTGAGCAGTGATGATCTTTTTTTGTGCCAGCACCTACTGCAACACAGGACCTTGGTTTTATACGGTCTCATCGAAGGACAGTCTCCATGCCCCTCATTAAAGATCTACTCCTTACTTAGCTGCAGAACTGTGAACTGTAGCTCTCTGCTTGAGAAAAAATTTGGACAGATAAAGCAGAACTATAGATCCAAGCATTGTAAAAACCTTCAATCTATGCCGACCATTTTCTATTCGTCGCTCACTTTGGGTATTTTTTCTTGTATTTTATACTTTCCTCAGCTTTAAAAATGGTATATAATAATTAATTATACATTTAACTTCATTCCTGATAATTTACTTACCCTTCAATGCTAACAAATGACTGTTTGTGGTTACGGACATCGAAATGGAACTCTTTTAAACCAACATTACAAAACTATTTACAGAACTGTTGCAGACCATTAAAAGGTAAATAAAGTATCAAAAATAAGAGTTAAATATATGATTAATTATAGGTTACCATTCTAAAAGCCAGAGAAAGCTTAAACTACAGGAAATAAATACCTATAGTAGCTACAAAAAATCGTCTGCATAAATTGAGGGTTTTTACAATGCTTGGATCTGTAGCTCTCTGTTTTACCTGTTCGAATTTTCTCAAGCAGAGAGCTACAGTTCTGCAGCTACTCCTTACTCTACAAATGTAGAGCAGATGCTCTAACCACTGCGCCACGCAGGCGACAGTGAGATTTGTATTAGGATACAAAGTCTAGTGGGAATATTTGGAACAAAATGTAGGAACCATTTGGAATTCTACCTCAACCTTCCATGTAAACAAATGCAAATATATCTATTCATCAATCCAGATCAGTTAAAACTGTGGGTTGAGAAAGTTTGATTTTTTGACAAATATTTCCTGAATATAAAGAGATGAGTGCTGTAGCAAAAGCAAACAAAATTTCTTAGAAAACCTTTACCATATACCGATACTGATTTGAAACCTGTTTTCATTTTTATTCATGATACACATTAGCCTAAATGGATATATTTTATAACCAACTATTGTCAAAACTTATTTCTTTTTACCTCCATAATAAGCCCATACAAAGGATGTCCCTTGCTATACACACGTAGTCCTTTGACTCTTTTATTCAACCTCATATTATTTGCTCTGTCATTCTCATTTATGGCATCAAAGGAAAGATTTTTGCTTGATGTAACAAGATGCGCAGAAAATGAATAGTCTGCCATTTTCAGGTTTGTCAAAGTGAAGTTTAGTTTTTGATTTTCGTGACCACCTAAAAATGAAAACATTTTTAAGAAATATATTGTGACATATTGATACTTTTAAAAAAATAAAGTAAGTCATTTTTTATATTATTAAGACTGTCTTTAGATTGTATCTTAGCTAATTTTTTTTTATATCACTTCTTTTTAGACAAATAACGCTAGATAATTTTGCTCCAAAGGGACATAGTCACTAGACTACAGGCACTATATTGTTTCTAATCCTATAGGATTAAGGTTAGTTTTAATTCTTAGACAAAATGGTTATTATGATAATATCTGTATATTTCAATTCTACATAAGAATTTGATCCCCAACAGAGCTGCCACATCATAGCTTTTTGGATAATGATATGTTCAAAATTTACTGGTTTTTGATCCTGGTAATCTCAAAATTTTAAAAATATTTTTCCTGGTTGCCAAACTTGAATTCTATATTATAAAGAATGCTGAAAATCATTCTGACTTTGATCTGAATTTTGTTTACTTAAGAAAGATGATTCAATATATGTTTCTTTGTATTCCTATGACCCTTGATTCGGATGATTCCCCACTGTTACCTCGCCATAGCTATGTTTCATGTATAAACAAACATGAACAAACAGTATATAATAAACCTTTAATTTTGAACTAAAATTGTGTTGCTTGTATTTTTTTTTTTTGGCTAAGTGGTTATCTGAAAGAAAAAGAATTCATAACACTCCATCTTTATTTCACTACTTATTAATTATCCCCCTTGGAGAAATGCACTTTCTTTGAAAAAAATACACATCCTTTACTTATGATTCTTTATGCAAAATCTTTTTGAAATCTACAAGGTAACTCTTAGAAAGTCAAAAAAATTAATGTAAAAAAAAAATTACACACGTCAGTGAGAAATGGAAGAAGATCACAATTGAAGCAGATAGGGTTAAAATACAAACCCCAAAGCTTAAACATATCTATCAGTAGAAAGAGGAACAACAATAACACAAGCACAAGTACAGTACTATAGAATAGTTTCATCTCCGTTACATAGCACACTGACCTGTAGTTTCTGTCAGGATCTCTATATGCCTATCCTTCAAATCCTTTCTCTCTTTGTAATCAGCAACTATTTTTAAATCCTTGAATGTGCTACAAACATTAAAGTTATACATGTACATAATCAGGGATGAATTCATTTTGAAATGGACTAAAAAGACAACAATGCAGAGAGATTATGATGATTCTTATTTTATAAGTTAGAGCAAATTGTGCAAAAAATATGAACATACATGTATAAATATTCACAATGTAAATGCAAGCAAAGAACTGGGTCTCTCTTAACTGATAAAAATACATCTTCAAACAATTGAATTCCACAACTAATAAAATGAAGCACATTCTTAGTTTACATGTGTATCCAACGATGTACATGTACCTGTTTTTCCTGGTGACTGAAGCTGAGAAGGGGCCCGATAAAGGGAAGTAAGCATGTGATCTGGAGGTGGTAACATTAGGATACTCTGCAATAATGCATGTTTGTTGATCTGTCAACAGTGACCAGTTGTAGCACTGCTCAAATGTTCCATGATAAGCTGGAAGGTAGGGGATCTCCTCTACATCTTTGTCATTACCATGCATCAAAAGAAGCCTGCTTCTGTTTTAAAAGGAAATTTAAATATCATGTACAGAAGTGCTGTGCTAGATACTGTTATAAATATCTATGCATCGCTATATTACATCCCACCCCGAAATCCCCAAATGATTTGTCTTATCTGAAATTATAAAGAAATGAAGTGTGCTTTCTCACTTGACTGAAGCTAGCTCCATTTTTGTCCCATCCTCTTTGCTGAGTATTGTTAGAATGAAGTGTTTAATCACGTCTTTGTGTGGATTCCCAGCCTGTAGTTGTGCCTCCACATCAAACTTCCCTCCCACTGTTCCCTGTGTAACCATCCGGCCTCTCTTGGTGATCAGTGAAGGCAACTTTACAGTCATTTGTCCCAAAAATTCAAAAGCTCCTCTAAAAGTCATATGTTATCAAAATATCATTTAGAGTTTTGTAAACTCAAAATGTTTACATAATTCACTTCTCAAAGTTCAAGTAATGACATAAACTGATACCAACAGGTGATGAGTAAAAGGCGAGATCACTGTGGATATATATCCAGTAATAACAGACAAGATCACTTGTGGGTAGCAAATATATGTACTTGATTGTACACATACATACAGAAAAACATGTACACAAAATAAATATCAATCAAAAAAGTTCAGTTGAGCCCAGAGGCATGTAAGCTTGAATTTTTGGAAAAATGAACTTTCTATAGATGGTTATTTATAAAGGGTCATTAATATGGGGAAAAAAAGGATCAAACTAACATCAAATTTATAGCAGATTGATAACATTTCATAAAGTTGAAAAAAATATCTTGGGAAAAAAATTAAAAGACATTTACAAAACGTAAGGACACTCCCTTCAACCCCAACCATTACAGTGAATTCAACTGACTAGGGACTTGAAAGATTAAAAAATATGTTACATTGTTCATACTTATGAAAAATTTTAGATTGAACATCCACAGGTCCCATTCCCAGCAGAAATTTCTTCAGTGTTAATTTGGCTTTGACCTCTGTGGCAGTTGTGTGTGTGAAGAGGACATTCATAGCAAGGGATGCCCCACTGACGGTCGGCAGAACTTTTGTGAGGTCCATGATTTTGGACGACCTGGAAGAAAAGCAAACATGTATAAGACATATTTCTTCCAAATACATGTATGGCAGCAATAGGAAATCATAATTGTAACTTTAAATCTTTGTACCTAGTTTTGATACGATGATAACCCTTGTTAAAATGAAGCATTAAGAGTTCCAGGATTTCATTTCCTTTTTTCTTAAGATTTTCTGCACTCAAATACTCAAGTAGAGTATGAACATCAGCATATGCAACTTCATGACCTGAAAAAAAAGGAAAGTAACGATACAAAATGGCTAGACATAGTACAATTTCCTTGTGGCAACAAAGAATTTACCTTTGTATAAAATCACAGCATATAGTTTTTAGCAAGAATGTTTTTTTAGATGAGCTATGTAAAACATAATGATAGAGATAATTACCAAATATTTTAAAGTGTAGAAGTCCTCCAAATTGCTCTTTATCACTTTGGTAGTTAACAAGCTGAAACAGGTCCCGGATCTCCTTGACTAGGTCTGGGTGAAAGTGACCAAACATCTCCGACAAGTCGACTGGGGCAGAATTTTCCACTGCTTTCTTAAATCCCGTGAAAAGTGATGCTAGATAGTAGAAACCTTTATTCCTACTTAGAGCACTGTTGAGCAGGCTTTGAAGTCCTGATGTAGAAGAATATGAGTAAAAAAGAATGTTTTAATACTTTAGTAATTACTAAATACATGTAACACTAACATTTGAATATCAAATCATATTGCATTTTGAATAAAACTTTAGAATGGCAAAATCAAACTGGCTCATTGTCAAATCATTTTTAAAGTCTGCAGACTCATGTCTGCATACACATGGATGAAATTTGTCACCAGTTTTGCAGTATTACCCTGTAAATCTGCTTCCAGTTCCAGAATATTCTGCTTCTTTCCATGGTAGTAGTTTAATTTGATGCTGTATGCCTGAAAGTCAGTCCTGACAGTATCACGTACCACGTCTATCTCCAGCTGCAGACCATCAAAGGTGACGGTAAACGGCAACCTGTCAACAAACAGTCAATGTTATAAAGAAGCCTGGCTGGGTTTTCACACTATCAAAATTTCTTGGAAAAAAAGAGCTCTGTATATAAATATAGGAATTTGTATTGATTATTATGCCTGAAACACAAGGAATTTTTCTTCACTAGTAAAAGTTTATGGCTAGAATAGTACATGAGCTTTTTTCTTTTAACATGCAGCATATAGACATACAAGTCAGTGTTATGAGATTTTCTGCCTATACACAGTATCTGGACATCTCAATGTAGCAATATTTTCTACTCACTTAAAGTATCTGGACAAGTCAATGTAATGAGATTTCCCCTGTAAGAAAGATGAGGGAGAGGGAAGTCTTCTTCCATCCTTCTCTATCACTTTTGTCCAGAGATCCCTAAGTCTGAAATAAAGAAGAAATACTGCCTTTGTATTTTAGCAAGAAATCAAAGTTCATCCATGGTCACACAAGTAACACTGTAAAAAATCCAGAAAAGTATGAAATAAGACAAAATAAACTGACAAATGAAGATATGTTGTCCAAAAGCAAGAGAAATAGGATGAACAGGAATCAATGTCATGAACTCGGAAAACAATTACAATGTAGCTCTATTTTCTTGCCTGTACTTGACAGTTTCAATACATTTCTATTAATCTCCATCACAATGATGACTTAACAGAAACGTTAAACTCCTAGAATATATCTTAAGGTTCATAAACCCTCTGCTCACTCATATAAAATGTTGCTTGAACCTTAATATGATAGCATTTCACACAAAAATTAATTAAAAATCTTACGTTTAAAAGAATTGAAATTTATTGATTGACATATCCTTGCACTCTCACAAATTTAATTTTATAATCCTTAGGAAAAGTGGCAATCTCGTTTTGTATAAATGAAAAATATTAATACTATAATCCAGCTAGACATGCGGGAAAGCAAAACAAACACACAATATAAGTCCGTGCATGTGGTAAGCAAAAAAGACATTTCAACTCGACAAATAACAAAACTACAAAAACTGTGTACATAAAGTGTGCTCGAGGGATAACTTGTGAAGGTGTTTTGCATTTCTACTCTGAATAAAATTATTTTTCTTGATAAAAGTTTTAATATTTCTCATTAAAACACATCAAAATTGCCACTTTTCAAGGATTAAGAGTTAAAATTTGTGAAAGTCTCAATCAAACCCGCCAAAATTTTAAAGTTTTAATAACTTTTAAATGAAATAAGATTTTTAATTAATTTTTGTGTGAACTGCTATTAAAATATATAATTCTGATATTATACAAAAAAAAAAATGAGAAAATATTAACTTCAAATCTGTGTCTAAGTACCTTTAATGATTTTCCAAAAGAATTGTATTTTATATGTAAAATACAAACAATTATAGCATAGCTTGCGGGGCAAAATTGGACAAAAAAGACATTTCAACTCGACAAATCTATGAAAGGGATAATAGGCATTTCTGTCATTAAGAGTTATCTCTCTTATCAGAGTATCAATGACCCTTAAACAACCTCTTAGATGAATTTCTCTAGGTCTTTGAAGGTCATTTTATGTAAAAACAAAAAGTATTTTTGTTTCTTAGAACATGTATATATTATTTACAAGTCTAACCTGACCCACTTTTGCATTAAATGTATCAATCTGAGTGTGTCAACAATGATTACCCTATCCTATCTGGCTGGTCATTTTCTAACACTGCCTCTATATAAGATGACATGTACAGTTTGATGTTGTCTATGGGTTCAGTGTGTACAGTCTCCAGTAGTTTGGTTATCAGGCCCTCATCTGTAGTGTCGGCCAGTCTCCTGAAGGCCTGGGTCCGGAGTGATGCCTTCCTGTTGACATCATACAGAACGGTCAGTAGGGAGGACTGAATGTCCTCTGTCATGTCCAAGGCAGCTAGGGCCTGTAATCATAGAGAAATGTGATGTCAAGGGGTTCCTATTATATTCTGTAATTTTTATAAAACTCTTTCAATTTAGAGACTGATGGTATAACAAACAGAATGATAGGTTGATTTGAGTTGCTATGAACAATCTCCTAAAATGACCCCCCCCCCCCCCCTCCTCTTTTGCTATTCACTTTTTGTAAGAGACCGTATACTTGCCCAAATATTCGTAATTCAAAGTCATTTAAAAACATTTCAATGTTATACATAATCTTTGTGTCAGATATGTGCTTTCAAAATTTCTTTTGTTTACATGTACATACATAAAGTTTACTCTGGATATGATTGCACTGACATGTGATTCCTATATAGAGGAATATCTACACTAGACAAAATTGCTAACACACCATTAATTCTTATTTGTGAACTGAACATTTGCTGGATCGGTGGTAGTGTATAGAATAAGCCATTATTTCCAAAACAGTGGGATTGAAAAATGTCTTTGTATCATGAAAAGACCCTTGAGTGACCTTCTTTTCCAAAAACCAATTTCCAGCTGTGCACTGCACAACATTTTTGCCCAGATATGAAATTCTTGATCACTAAAGGTGGTCTGTGAGTTTGCCACAGGAGTAGTCCCCCAGTTATAAATCAAACAACAATTAGTCATTGACTCTCATATCGCCTAGCAATCATCTGGTGCCTTAGTGTCCATACCAAATCCACTCAACTTCCGGTTGACCTAGTTTTGTGGAACAATTTTCAACTGATTGTATGCTCCTATCTAAATGCTGTGGTTATCTATAGTAAACATTTTTATGTTTATTAATCTATTTGCAACAATCTTTTCTTGGGTGGAATTCATAAGCTTTTTATTGCTTTCATTTTTTACAGATTTCTCTAAATGAACCCCCTGCAGACGCCATACTATCTGCTTTAGCATGCTCTTCTTGCGTCAAATGCTGCATACGGTGTAACTTTTTCTGAGTTTTTAATTAGTACAAAGTACAAACGTAAAGAACACAATTACAAAGAAAAATTGAAATTTTTTTCTTCAAAAATGGGCTAGACACGATTTAAATTTTTTCTATGAATTGCTCACACTTCAGTAAACATTGTAGTTATTATTTATAAGGTTTGACATTTATTTGCCTTATTTTGTATTAAAGTAACATATTTATATATCAAATACATCATTAAAAGGTTTTTAAAAGTACAATAATAATTTTCTTAGGTGGTGCGTTAGCAATTTTGTCTAGTGTAAACATATTTTTAATATGTTAAAGATAGGTTATCCATATCAAAGTTAACTCTGCAATGGTAAATGATGCCGAGATCATATGCATTATTATTCATTAGGGCAAAAATTAGACAACATTTCTCCCAATTCAAGTTTATTTGGTTGGTGAACTAAATCTCAGTGAATTATTCTGATTCTCTTACCTGGATAGCAGTTTTAGACAGGTGATATGGAACATTACGGTTTTCCACACAAATTTGGATGGATTTTACCAATGTGCTGACCGTGAAATTTATTGATGAAAACTTTTGAATAATTTTACCAACATTACCAAACATCTGCAATAAAAATCATAAAAATAAAATCATGTTATATCATAAAAAAAAACATAAAACTAGTTAAAGTTGATCTGAGAAGTTAGGAATTGTGCATTGAGGTTTTATAACTCTACTGACATAGTGGGTTTTTTTTTTAGATATAATACCTTAAACATAAGTAAAAGGTTGCCATGTTTATTTATCTTCTCATCCACACCGAGGCCCTCCCATATCTCAGATTTACAGTTGTCACCTATCTCACCCGCGACATGTGTCATAATCTGAGATACTGGATCATCCTGACAAAATAAAATAAAATAATCTAGATATCTAAAAAGCTCCATCTTTAATAGGGCTTCTTTTTATTATCATCTCATCATGCTCATAGATGTTATTTTTACTTTTATCAACAGTTTTATACCTTTTGAAACTCTTTATTGTCTGTTTCTCCCAGGAATCTATGCACCATTATACCCAAAGGTAGCCAACAAACCATTTGGTTCTTATTTTTACACATATCCTGTTAATAAAAAAAGTCATATCCGGTTAAAGTTACTCAACAATACATGTAAGAAGACTGCCTCAAATTCATAACAAGAAACATCAACAGGCATAAAAATTTCCAAAGCATATCATGCTTAGATCCTTTACAATCAAAAACCTTGTAGGATACATACTGATGATAAATCATTGTTTGTGGTGAACAAACGTCCACCTATGTTGCGGGTCACCCTTCCCAATACCAGTAAACCATAAACTTTATATTCAAAGGAATATGGAATTTGGTTCATTAAATCTTATTATATACAAGTTACCCAAAAGGAAATGTCTCCCAAAACCATATTTTTTTTATTTCCAATGAACAATTGATAAATATAGATAGGTACATGTAGGTTCCTCAATGGATGTCAAACAGAGAGAGAAGAGGATAGGAATAGCTTTATTAACCGAGTCAATATACTCACATACAAAACAGAGAGAGCTTGTGGTGATGTTTCATGGTTAATGGCCAGGTCGTATGTAAACAGGGAGCTGAGGAGAGGGTCGGACACATGGCCACTCTGTAGACAGTGAGTGAATGTTCTCAGACAGGTATAGGAACCGCAGGACAATAGGGCGTCCAGGAAGTAGTCCTTCTCCATCAACTACACAAAATAGAAAAGATCAGCTCATACCTGCTTTATGAGTGATTATGAGAAAGATCATTTTATAAAATGCCAATCACTTTTTTACAATCAGACTAGCATTATTAAAAATAGTCAAAGAAGTTATGTCAACCATTCAGAAAATAACGTAATATCATCTGATGTCAGTCTATTTAGCAAATCTTAATCAATACAGTCATGGAATGTTTGAGACTTATACCAGTATCTGGCAATTGAAAATCCTAAAATTCTAATGCTCAAACTGATCATATCTGGACCTTATAATAGAATACATTTTAAAATTGTATTACGTACAGCCAAGAGTTGACAAACAGACAAGAATTTTCCTAAACTATGCACCGGTATGTGAAAAATGAAAGCAATTATAAGATGTACCAGTAATGAATGGATTAGTCTTTCAAAACATACCTGGTGAACAGAATCACAGTTGACACTATTGTTGCCATGACAATTCCAGATATGTGACATTGCGACTGAGAGAGTTTGATTGTCTGCCCTCTTCATGTCCATGACAAGCTGATTGTAGAACTGGGGAAGATCTTCCACTTTATCTTTTCTCACACTTTCTACCATCTTCTGAAGCAAGCTGTTGATTGTTTCCATGGTCACTTCTGGTGTTGTTTCTTCTTCAAACTCAAACAAAATGTCTACATACTTTTTACCTCTGATTCTTCTGTTGACAGCCCGTGTGCTTAGTTTCTTCACTTCAATCAGTTCTAAAGACTGGCTAGAAGTAAACACATGTTTTCATAGTAAATGTCTGCTAACAGGAAAATAATTTTAAAATACAGGAACTGTAAACATGCTAACAAAATTGTACTTCCTCCCTAAATGCCCGATATACATTTTCCCAAGAAATGATATTGAATTTACTGAAATTCTTGTTTCAAGAAAATCACACTTCTCCTATCATAAGTTATCTCTATATAAAGTAAAAATTTCCAGTATACATACTTCATTGAAATGACTTAATGTTTATATTTCTCTCTGAAAGTGATCTTTTAAAAAAGTTATAGATCTTTCCCAACTTTTACACTTTTCTGTCAGTGACCTTGGACTTGCTGGAATAAGTGGAATTACCTAAGTTCAAAGTCAGAAAACTCTAGATCATATGCTATCTTTATGTCAAGAATTAACTTTAACGTCTCTCCATAAAGTTGACTTGGACATGAACTTGATATTTTTCAAATAAAGACTATCAATTTGCTTGAATGACCTTTGGTCAAGGTTATGGCCTAACTTTTGGTCAGATCAAATCTTCAGATTTAAATGTTATTTTTCCATTATAATATATGGTCAGGAAATGAAAATTTCTTTTTTTCTAAAAGTGGTCTTAAACTTTATCAAACATTATTCAAAAACCAAATAAATTTTGCAATTGGTACACATGATTTCACCCTTGTTATACATAATGCATCCCCATTCCTACCCCACTGATCATAATTTAGACATTTTGAAATCTACACTACCACATGATCCTTCCATGGGCACATATGTTTCAGCTTTTTGGCCCAGTGGTTGGAAGAAGATTTTCAAAGATTTTTCCTATATATTTCTATATAAAACTTTGATTCCCTATAATGGCCCCGCCCTTCCCCCGGGGGTCATGATTCCTACAATTTAGAATTTACACTACCCCAGAATGCTTCCACATAAGCTTCACTTTTTCTGGCCCAGTGGTTCTCTTGAGAAGAAAATTTTCAAAGATTTTTCCTATATATTTCTATATAAAACTTTGATTCCCCATTGTGGCCCCACCCATCCCCCGGGGGTCATTATTTGAACAATTTAGAATCTACATTATATAGGATGCTTGTATAAGTTTCAGCTTTTCTGGCCCAGTGGTTCTTGAGAAGAAGATTTTCAAAGATTTTTCCTATTTATTCCTATGTAAAAATTTGATACCCCATTGTGGCCCCGCCCTTTCCCTGGGGGTCATGATTTGAACAATTTAGAATCTACATTATACCAGGATGCTTCCACATAAGTTTCTTTTCTGGCGCAGTGGTTCTTGAGAAGAAGATTTTCAAAGATTTTTCCTATATATTTCTATGTAAAAATTTATACCCCATTGTGGCAATGCCCTTTCCCTGGGGGTCATGATTTGAACAATTTAGAATCTACACTATACCACATGCTTCCACATAAGTTTCAGCTTTTCTGGCCCAGTGGTTCTTGAGAAGAAGATATTTCAAAGATTTTTCCTATATGATTCTATGTAAAACTTTGATTTCATTGTAAAACCCGCCCTTTCCCTGGGGGTCATGATTTGAACAATTTAGAATCTACACTATAAGGATGCTTCCACATAAGTTTCAGCTTAAATGGCCCAGTGGTTCTTGAGAAGAAGATTTTCAAGATTTTTCCTATATATTTCTATGTAAAATTTTGATTCCCCATTGTGGCCCCGCCCTTCCCCTGGGGGTCATGATTTGAACAATTTAGAATCTAGATTATTATGCTTCCACATAAGTATATTTACTGGCCCAGTGGTTCTTGAGAAGAAGATTTTTTAATGACCCCACCCTATTTTTGTCTTTTTTGATTATCTCCCCTTGCGAGGGGATATGTCTCTTCATTTTAACAATTTAAATTCCCCTTTACCCAAGGATGCTCTGTAGCAAGTTTATCAAAATTGGCTCAGTGGTTCTTGAGAAGAAGTCGAAAATGTGAAAAGTTTACAGACGGACAGACGGACGGACGGACGGACGGACGACGGACAAAATGTGATCAGAAAAGCTCACTTGAGCCTTCGGCTCAGGTGAGCTAAAAACCAAATACATTTTGCAATTGGTACACATGTATTTCTAATTTCAGAACTCCAATTCTTACATGTACAGACATGTTAACTACTTTAAAAACACTGTGTACCGTTAAATGTAAGTATACACTTAGAATAAGTCTTAAACAGCACAATTAATTGGATAGTTTTGAATACCTAGCATTAGTCATGTATGATGCGTAAATGGAACCATTATAGGCACTGGGCTGAAATATCTGCTGCTGGAGACAATCCACTTCTTTCAGGCGATGCTTGTCAGTTACTCTGTGTTCACATTTCACAATGGATAAAAATGGGTAATAAATCTGCAAAATAAACATTTATAATAATTCTGTAAGAGATATTATGTCTTGTATTGTTTTGTTTCTAAACCTAGAAATTATATATAATGAAGTGTATAATGTCTTCTCATTCTGTCTTTGTTTGTAATTATTTATACCAGTGCTGTACATGTATTTTTAACCTGTTGATCAATATGAATGTGCCTCTCCCTCTACCATACACACTTATGCAATAAACATTCTCTCTTCTCTTTTTCTAAAACTAATAATTAAGTTTAACAATAAGATACATATACAATGAAATCTATCAGATAGGTAAACTCAGAAATTACCTCGGAAACAGTTCCAACCTTATATCCCCCATACACTCTTTGTATCATGGAAAATATATTTCTTGGTTTCTCGTAGATTTGAGGCATCTGACAAAAGCGTAAATTCCGCTCCGTGTAAAACAAGTCAGGATCCGAGTGTGAAATATTATAATGTGTTGGACATTCTCCGAAGATGTCAGTCTACAAGACAAATTAAATGCATCACATATAATATAAGAAAACTTACAAGATTATTAATTCATACAATGTAGGATAGGACATTTTTATTACTCATGTATGAAAAAATACTACATATTTTCAAATTGACTGAAGATTTTATCTATCATTAAATATATATCATGTAACCTGTTGGTAAGGTTCTTTACTGTACAGGTCTACTGGCATTATTTTAAGTTGGAATGAGGACAGCATGGCTCGCTTGATGTTAAGAATGGCTAACTCTTCCTCCTCAGAGGTAACAATGCCCTGTCTTCTCACTTCTCCTAGGTTATATTGAAAGTAAAGACAATTCCTAGAACAAAATAGAATAAGTTCTCAGGATTAAACTGGCTTAAACATTCAGTGACATAATTATCAGAATATCAATTGATCACACTCAGTCAATTGTTTGTGATCACTTCAAACTAAAACATTTAGTGGCATTATATTCAGAATGTTGACTGATCTCTCACTTTGACATTTTCTGACTGAAGACTAGTGAGTTCTCTGCCTCCTTGTACTTTGGATCTGCACCTGGCTCCCTGTCATGCAGCTTACAGTGATCAACCTAAAGCAAATAATACAATGTAAGCCATGTTTATCATCAATACTGGTATTATAAGTATCAGATAAAGCACTGTAATTCTTTGGTTTTAAGACACTCTTGCAATGTCCTCTGATCATTTCAAGTACCACTTATACTCTTTTCCTGCAGATTACTTTGAATAATACAAATATATTCAGTTAAAAATGCTAAATTTGAAAGGTCTCATTACAAGTCATTACAAGTCATGCATCTGTGAAAGAAATATGATAGCCTTGTCCTGTCTGAAGCAAAAGTTACAGTGTATGGCTAAAGCTAAAGGTAATTTTTTCAAGTTGGTCAATTTTCAAGGTAATGATGTCAGAAATGACAATTCTTTCTATAAAATGCCATTTTCACACTTAGTGTACTTGAAAATATGAAAGCTAATCTTCTTTTGTTCAAAAGCTTTTACCAATGTTATTAATTTTGAAAACTTAATTAAAGGTTTAGGCATAAGGTCAAAATACATAGATTATTCAGATAGGTTTTGGAAGAGGTAATGCATGTCAAATGCTGTGATACATGTATCTCTAGTTCAAAAGTTATCATCAAAGCAATTTTACAGTTCTACATTCCACACATGAATTTACTGTCGACCGGGGACAGGTCAACGGTTGACAGTTGACACTTCCCTTCTGTTCTAGTGTCGACCAGGGACAGGTCCAATGCAAAAGTTATGACCAATGACAAAATTACCTTTAATATTCCCTCACATTTTCTGGGGACATCAACATGAAAATCACACGTGTACTTGAACCCTGCTTTGGACTCCGAGGCTCCAATGAATGCAGAGTCTGAAGATGCTGTGAAAGAATATGTGTATGTCCATCCATGGTGGAACCATGTGTCTGTAAGCATCAACAGGTAAAATGTTTGTATTCATTTTCAGAATATTTTACAATAAGATTGTAAAACTCACATATTATTATAAAATAACCATAGCTCTGCCTATAAAACAAGCTTTTTGAAGACCTTTCCTGTTTATTTCCTTTATGTTTACTAGTAGAAAATGTAACTTACGTGATTTATCACACACATCTGGCTTCACTATCTTTATCTTTGCAGAACTTACAACTGAAAATTACAACAGAAAAAGTTAAAAATAAATCACATAACATATACTGCTAGATTACCGATGAAATATATTTTGGGTGCCTAATACATCCAATCTAATTAAAATAAGACCTTTCACCTTGCTCTTTGTAAATTGATTTGTCGCTTCTGAAAGCGAGCGACAAATCAATTTACGAAGAGCGAGATGAAAGGTCTAATTTTAATTAGATTTCTAATACACCTAGTCAATGTTTTTTTTTTAAATAACCTTTTACAAAAGACGTCTTTTGGCTGTCAGCACAAAGAAATATATTTTATTAATTCCTTTAAATTTCCTTGAATGTCTGTGTATTTTTAAAACCAAGATGGTAGACCAAAGTAATAGTAAACAGGTGCAGTGCAATCACTAGATTTAGCTACGTAGATAGAATTACCGATGTAGACTTAATTACCTACCTCAGGTAGCTTTATTTAGCTATAGATGGTTTTCTATTTAGCTAATTTTAGCAATAATAATTCCCCATGGCCCCCATGTTGTAGGGCAACATCTCCAGACCCCTTCATTATTCAACCAAGTTCGATTTGTTATACTGGTTGCTGATGTAAAGTTAACACTAGTTTTCTTATGACAATCAATTGTTAAAGCCTCTATTAATTCATGTGAATATTTTCCCCCATACATTTCTGGCATGCATGTTTAAAATTGATTGCTCAAATAGGAAAATTCACTGCTTTGCCCTACAAGATGGCGGCTAAGGGGAATAATTCCGAGGCAAAATATGTCAACTGAAAAACCATCTATTTCAATGGAACTTTTCACAATTTTCTTTTTATTAAAAAGACAAAAAATTGCAATTAAATGACAATTAATATTTACACTAGGGTGGTTCTAAAAAAACAATCCATAGCAGAGATAGTTTAAACATTGCTGCATTTGAACACATTAAAGCAAAATATGTAATTCCATTGTTGTGTAACTGTTTACGGTGAGGCATGGATGAGTATGATTACTTCACATTGTGCTGAATAATTACCGATCTATAATCATGTTAACAGGAAACGGGACTGTTGTATGTAGCCCCAAAACATTCAGAAGTTTGATTGCAACATTGCACAGGAAAAGACATTTCTTCAAGAGAGATTTTTTCATTATTTGTTTTCAGATGAGTTTAAAGTTAAAAAATGATCAATGCATAAAAATGAGATTTTCTGCACACGCTGAGAAAAATGCTTCTTTACGAAATAAGATTGATTTGGTAGCTATAGCTACAGTCAAGGGACATAATTATTCGCCACTTCCGCACAAACCGCGTCACGTTTTCTCGCATGTTCGGTAAAGTAGGGTTGAGCTCTATTTTTAGACGAAAGATTTTCCCATTCTATTTTTATCTTTGTGTTGTTATACTAAAATTGATGACGTGTACACAATAGTTTTGTCATCTGCTATATTGTTTTTCGATAAATTTATGTGAAAACAACATGGGTCGCAAGGGGAAAGAATTAGATACATCCGTCAGAAGTATGGTTGTAGAAGCGTATAAAAACAACAGAAATACATCAGAATTGGCGAGGGTATTAGGAATACTTAGGTAAACAATACGTAGTATTGTTAAAAAGTTTGATGAAACAGGACAGGTAGAAAATCGACGAGGAAGAGGGAGGAAGAAAGTGTTTACAGACAGAGACAAAAACAAACTTTCACGTGTAGTTAAAGAAAACAGACGAAGAACTTACGAAGACATCACAGGTATTATAAATGAGGAAAACAATCAAAGATTTTGTACTAGAACTATAAAAAAAAAAATTCAAGAGCTCGGGTACAAACGAAGGGTTGCCAAGAAAAAAGTCGCTATTTGCGAGACCAACAAAAAAGCTCGCTGTAAGTGGTGTAAGGAGAGGAGAAATTGGACTGTTGATCGTGAGTGGAATAAATGGGTGTTCAGTGACGAAAGCCAGAAAGTAATTGGAAAAAATAGGAAAGTTTATATCTGGAGAAAAGACGAGGAAAAGTACAGTGCGCAGCTTGTGTGTCCGCCATCTGGACGACAGCTGAGTATCATGATCTGGGGTTGTGTTTGTATAAAAGGAATGGGAACTTTAACTAGTGTAGAAGGTAACATAAATGCAAGAAAATATATTGAAATATTAGACAACAACCTTTAGCCCATTTTAGCCAGACATTTTCCAGATAACGAGTATGTATTTATGGACGACAATGCTACCGTTCATAGAGCAAATTTAGTAAAAGAATACATCGCCAATAACAACATAATTACAACATCATGGCCTGCCCAGTCCCCTGATCTAAATATCATCGAGAACATTTGGATAAAATTAAAAAGAACACTGGAAACCCGTGCCGAATTCATTAACACAAAAGATCAGCTGATGGCGGAAATTCGGACTGCTTGGGAAAATATACCAATCTCCGACATTGAGGACCTGTATAAGACAATTCCTGGCACACTAAATGAAGTATTAAAGATGAAAGTCAATTTAACAAAGTATTGAGGTAAGATGGGCGTTTATCATTTTTTCAACAGCTCCTAAATATCAAGGTGCGCGATGTAAAAATTTCGGCGGCCATCTTGAAGTGGCGAATAATTATATCCCTTGACTGTATGTAAGTAAATCAAGTATAGCTATGTAGATAAATCAAGCTACGTCGCTAAATCTAGTATTTGTACTGGACCTGGTAAGTATAGCTATATAGAAGTCTGCCTGTGGATATTTTTTTGCTTTTGAGCGCCTTTAAAGGGACAAAAACTCTTGTGAGAAGTAACTACACTTGATCCTCAAAATGAATTATTGGGAAAATGTGCAATTCGCTGTGTTTGACACTGGAATAAAAGTATCTTCTGCTTTGAATTTCCCACCGGATTCCAAATTTTGACGCTAGTTACGAAGTGTTTCTCGATCACATACAACAAATCCGGAAAATGAAAGTAGAGTGCAAAAATTTTGGCCATGGGGTGTATATAAAAATTATTTTGTTTTCTTATACATGTATTACTTGATTACCCATTTATAAATGATAACATGTAGTTGTAGTCGCACACTTTTACACATTGTATTCCGGTAACTGAAATAGTACGTACAAAATTGTTTGTTGAAGTGTATGGAAAGCCAACGGGTTCAAAATTCCAACTCTGTAATTCTTAATATGTACACATGTAAACCTGAATTTGCAAATTGCAAATCTTAGTTAATTTCATAATCTGTCAATTGTTTTTTTCACAATTTGTTAGTTGTAAATATCCAAGCGTAATTTGACAAGTGTAAAATGTAAATGCAAGTTTTGCCGATGCTCTCGTGTAATTCGTAGACTTACGAGTTGTCAACTTGTGAAATGTACTTGCTTGATTTGTAAATTATGCAAGGTTGCATTATGCTAACACCTATTAAGACGAAAGGGGGCGCTATACGGGTGGCAAGTTAATTCGTTGCTTAACAATTCAATCATTTTCCCAATGTGTCCAGCAATGCACCAGACCTGCATGGGGATCATTGGCGCGACTGAGCCAGGGTAGACAAGAGTGGCGGAAGTTTGTTGCTGCCCTACACACTACAGATTGTAAAGGATGATGATGATGATGAATGTGTCCTTAATAATTAAAAAATTAATTTCATGTCTGTCTTTAAGACTGTTTGTAAATAATAATAATGTATTAACAGGGGTATACTCTAGTAAAAACTCCAAACAATCCTGAATAATTTTCGATTTTAACATTAAAAAATTTTAAAAGCCTTTTCTGTAGTGTTGCTGGCAGATTCGGCATGAGGGGGGTTGGGGTCGGGTTAAAGAGGCCAGGATCGACCTCAAGGAATAACCTCGGACCCCCCCCCCCCTTCAGGAGTTATGGACCTCTCGTAAATAAGTAGAAGAGTCCTATAAATATTTGAAAGAGCTTATCGACAAGAATTGTCCATAATCCCCCCTCCCGCACACAAACACGATTTTTTTTTGATGACTTTAGTGGACATGAAGCCCCCCTCATTTTGAAAATATACATGTATTGACAAACCCATCCATGTCTTTGTAAAGTACAAATTAGTTTGCATATACGGAAAATTAAAAAATTAATTAATTTTAATTAAATAATTAAAAATTATTTGGAAGTGATCATATATTGAGTACGAAGTTTTTCTTTTTCTTCCAAACAGATGACTATTTTTGCGTTGATAGATAATCCGTTTATAAATAATCAATATATTTTATAATATTTCGTAAGATTTAAGACTAAAAAACTACTAGGGAGGGGGTCCTTCTCTTTGCGCCACTCATTGAGTTAGATGATTTTATAGAGCCGAACACATCCCAGAAGGTATGGCGCATCTCAGTTTTGTTGGGTTACATATAGTTTATTCCATGCATCCTCATGAAACAAAATGAAGTTCAGAAAAAAAGGCTTCCATGCCTTGGGCCCAACGATCACACAAAAACAGTACACGTGAAAAAATCTAGTCCTCTTGCGTGTAGCAAAGTTTCTGAAAGTGGCACCCAGAAAAATAATTGACTCTTTCATCTGAAAACCCTGGGGGAGGGTTTGGTATATGGTTCTTACTTTTTCACAAGACAGTTCGATCCATAGTTATGATGGGCTTTGATACTAAATTACAGTAAAACATGTTCGAGAAAAAGCGAGAAGGGGGAACCCCCCTCCGATACTACGTTCCCGGTCTTAACGCTTCTTTATGAAACTGAAAAAAAAAACTTTCGGGTTCTATTCCCTCGGCACTTCTCCGTGCGCTGATTTAGAGGGGGGATCCGGACCCCAAGCCCTCCCCAAAATGTACAGAATTATTAAATGTATATACTGAAGCACATTGAAAATGACTTTGGAACCACTCCCCCCCCCCCCCCCACACACACACCAGGGCCGTAACTACCATTGAGGCAACGGAGGCAATTGCCTCCTCTAGATTTTCATTTTTTTTTTTTTTTGGAAATAAGAAACACAACACAAGCAGGTGGATCAAGATTGATCATTTATTTGTTTGATTATAGCCACCTGAGCAAT